GGGGTGGAGGGATTCCAGGACCACCAGGAAGAGGGGGAGGCGGAGGTGGCATTCCTGGTCCTCCAGGCAAGGGAGGAGGAGGTGGGGCTATGGCACCACCACGAGGGGGAGGAGGAGGTGGGGGTATGGCAGCTCCAGGCGGCAAAGGAGGAGGTGGGGGTATGGCAGCACCCCCAGGCAAAGGAGGGGGTGGGGGTATGGCAACACCTCCAGGCAAAGGAGGGGGTGGGGGTATGGCAGTACCCCCAGGCAAAGGAGGGGGTGGTGGTGGAGGAGGAATGGTAATACTCCCAGGAAGAGGAGGTGGGAGTGGTATGCTAACCACTCCTGGTAATGGAGGGGGTGGTGGTGGAATAACAGTGCCAGAGTCACCAGGTAAAGAAGGGGCAGGGGGAACAGTAGTACTACTAGGAGCAGAAGGAGCTACAGCAACAACCGCAGCGGAGAGAGAAGCCATTTCTTTCTTGGCATCTTCCAGTTCTTTTGACAGCTTGGCAACCTATAGAAACAGTATCAGTGTGAGGAGTTCTCACCCTACTTCAGGGACTATGTGGGCTGGAAGGAATCAAAGAAACTTACTTAATCGAAAATTCTCATTTTACACATGGAGGGACTGAGAGGAACCAGACAGATCACAGGATTTACCTAAAGTCACACTGCTGTTTACTGGCAGAGCCAAAACTAGAATTTAGGTCTGCCCATTCTTAAGTCAGCATGCTTTGCATTAAAAAGACAACTTCAACCTTTACCTTAAACTCTCCCTTTGAGTAGAAGATGTAAAGGTCAAGTAAATCAAATGTTCTAGGTATATAACTAACATATGCACAAAATAGGTAATTACATAACCACATAAGTAGCCAAGTTATCAAATAACAGAGATCATTTAAATATTTATTACCACAGAGAGTATGTGTAAGAATCAATCTGTATAGTGACTAACAGAAAATTATCTAAAATGTAAAATTTAGTTTTTACACCTAGACTTATTAGAAGACTTAATTTCATTTCTGGGTAGTACTATAAACAACTCACTTTACTCTTAATGTATTTCTGTATTTTCCAAATTTTCTGTCTTAGGTATTACCCACAAAACAAAACCAGTATATGATTTTTAAAATATGCACTATCTTATTAGATTACCTATTAGTAGCTGAACCCTCCCCAGGAGTGAGATGACTGACTCCTGTTCCAAGACACGCACATCCTGAGGTTACAGGCCACTCTGCCTTCCCTGCTCAGGTATTACCTCTCCTGTGAGCTGGGACACCTCTGCTTCTAGGTTCTGTTTCTCTGTGGCAATTTGTTGCTTTTCAGAATCCAATGTATCCTTTTCTCCCTGAAGATCCTGAAGCTTCTGCTCAAAGTCACTTTCCATCTTTTTTATTTCCACCTGTAGCTCATGGCGGGCTGTTAACTCTGAGTCCAGCTAAAGAAGAAAGGAATCAGGCTCCAGCAAGCTGTCCATCTCAGAAAGAAGCACAAGTTTTATGCACCATAATTTACTATTGTGTACCAATACTTGGTCTGTAGAGCTCACTGACCCATACCTCAGGCAATGCCTGGAGGCAAAAAGCACCATGATTTTGACCTTAAAATCAAAGTTAAAGGAGAGGGAATTCAGAGTTCATTTCCATAGTCTTCCTACTTTAAACAAGAAGGAAGGAAGGAAAAGGATAAACGGAAGAGAGAGAGGGAGGAAAAGAACTTAAGATTTTAAAGATATTGGCTTGGCGCCTATGGCTCAAGTGGCTAAGGCGCCGGCCATGTACATCCAAGGTGGAGGGTTTGAATCCGGCCCAGGCCCGACAAACAACAATGACGGCTGCAACCAAAAAATAGCCAGGCGTTGTGGCAGGTGCCTGTGGTCCCAGCTACTTGGGAGGCTGAGGCAGGAGACTTGCTTGAGCCCTAGAGTGGGAGGTTGCTGTGAGCTGAGATGCTACGACACTCTACCCCCCCCAAAAAAAAAAAGATTTTAAAGATATTTAACCAGGACAGCCATGGTAGTATAATCCCAATAGTCTCTATGATGAAAAATCTATTAACAACAATAGGAGTCCTTAACAACTGAACAGGAAAAAAAAAGAAAAAGACTAAGATGCGCTCCAGTTTCTATTCTTAAAATAAGAGGCTGAAATGCCAAGCAAACCTGCCAGTGCCATTACTGACATACAAGAGTATCATCTGTCTTTCTTGTCCTGCCCAGAAACCGAAGAGTTACTGTAAGCCCACCACTAGCTCCTCATGGTCACACTCATATCACCTTCTTCTTGTCATCAATGACTAGCAGAAAGGTTTCCAGTGTGAACTACACTTTTGGGTGCTGAATTTCAAAATACCATGCACAAAAACTAACTCACAAGTCAGGAAAAACAATCATCTTTAGACAAAGAAATACACACCTACACACTTTTGTTTCAGCCCTCATACACACCTTTTTTTCCAGCTCTGTAGCTTTGGCTTCAGATTTCTCCACCTTTGTTTTATCAATCATTTGATCTGGAAAAAAAGAAGAGTAAGTAATGCCCCAAATTCTCCAGGTCTACCCCTTTCATACCTAAGCCCTTCAAATTAATCAAAAACAGCCTTTTGTCCTTGTAGCTATTTTTTTTTTTTTTTTTTTTTGGAGACAGAGTTTCACTATGTCACCCTTGATAGGAGTGCCATAGCGTCACAGCTCACAGCAACCTCACACTCTTGGGCTTAAGTGATTCTCTTGCCTCAGCCTCCTGAGCAGCTGGGACTATAGGCGCCACCACACCACCTGGCTATTTTTTTGTTGCAGTTGTTTAGCTGGCCTGGGCTGGGTTCGAACCCACCACCCTTGTTGCATGTGTCTGGTGCTATAACTACTGTGCCACGGGTGCTGAGCCACTTGTGGCTATTTTTACTATTCTTCTTAATGACCTATACGAAACATAGACATCACACTTTCAGTTAAGTTCAACATGGCAAGATTACCACGCTAGATGACATGAAGAATGCCTATGTGTGATACTTTTGACTCTCTGGGACCAAGAGGAATTATAGATAATAGATGAAGTCCAGCCATGCAAAAGGTGGTGGAGTAAGAAGAGGCAAGTTTTTTACTTATGTAGATGTAAACTAAAGACCTTGTCTGTTTCCACCAAAGATATTGGTTATGACCTAAGAAAGGATAAAAATGGAAAAATCTAGGGATGAGAAAGATATCTTTCTCTTTCTTTCACTGAAAGACAGATGCAGGCTCGGCGCCTGTGGCTCAAGCGGCTAAGGCGCCAGCCACATACACCTGAGCTGGCGGGTTTGAATCCAACCCGAGCCCACCAAACAACAATGATGGCTGCAACAAAAAATAGCCAAGCATTGTGGCAGGCGCCTGTAGTTCCAGCTATTTGGGAGGCGGAGGCAGGAGACTCGCTTGAGCCCAGGACTTGGAGGTTGCTGTGAGCTGTGATGCCATAGCACTCTTTCCAGGGTGACAGCTTGAGGCTCTGTCTCAAAAAAAAAAAAAAAAGACAGATGCAAAGGAACCAGACAGAAGAGTATGCTTACCAATCAATCCCTCAATATCAACCTGAAGATGCCGGCACTTGAAGTCAGGATCAGCCCCATTCTTGTGCAAAACTATCTGAGAAATACATTCTTCAATCAACTTATAATACTGTGGTCTACAAGAGAATAAAATGAGGTTATCAAAGGAAAATCAAAATATAATTTTCAGAAGTATTCAGGACTAAGAACTCTTTTTTTTTTTTTTTTGGAGACAGAGTCTCACTTTGTCCCCCTTGGTAGAGTGCCGTGGCGTCACAGCTCAAAGCAATCTCAAACTCTTGGGCTTAAGTGATTCTCTTGCCTCAGCCTCCTAAGCAGCTGGGACTACAGGCACCCGCCACAACACCCAGCTATTTTTTGGTTGCAGTTGTCATCGTTGTTTGGCAGGCCTGGGCTGGGTTTGAGCCCAGCTCCAGTGTATATGGCTGGCACCCTAGCCACTGAGCTATAGGCGCTAAGCTGTTAACTGCTTTTATAATTGAAAATCTTGAGGATAAGTGTTCTGAAAAAATAGTACTTTTTATAACGTTAACAGAAGTATCACTGTCATGCTAAGAAATCTCCCCTGTCCACACCAGCTACCCCACTACTTCAGATAATCAAAACTTCTTGCCATCTGCCTCCCAGTATCAATACTTTTCTTTTTTTTTTTCCCCAAGGTCTCATGTATTTATTACTGTACCAGCTTATTAGTGAACAACACATAAACAAAGAGAAAACTCATTTTCCCAATGAAGTGTGGCAACTGTCCAACTGATGACATTTTCAGCTTGATATGGTAAGGTGATAGTGATCAAAATACAGCCCAAGTACATGACATCTCATGTGCAATTCCTTACAGACCCAGCTTGGTTCTTCTCCATTGTCTCCTCTTCGAGTTGTACCTGATTTTATTACTGGTTTTCATTCGAATCCACTGGGGAATGGGACAATTTTGTTTTTGTTTCTTGGCCAAAAACCGCTTGATTCAGAAAGTTTTATAGGAGGACATGGCGACAAAAGGGACTACTCAAACCCACCATAATGGCGTAGAGCGAGAGAAAAGCATCAATACTTTTCCATCTAAAAATTGGAGCTTGATCCCTCTTGTGATGGATACCACTATTGCTAAATTTTTATTTCCAGGGAGCCAGGAAGAATTTTAAATTGCCAGCTTTCTTTGCTATCATCTTCACCCACCTACCCACATCCCTCCAAAAACAGAAGGGCATTTCACCTCATACATCTCTTACATAGGGATGACTTTCAGTCGAATTAAAAAAACAACTGACAACTTCCCTTGTATCTGCAACTAATGACTACATCTGGGGTCTTTGTCTTTTCTTTTTCCCTTTATAGGACAATCTTTGAATTGAAGGATTTTGCTTTCTCCAGTTAGGCTCAAATTCAAAACTTCGCACGAGCATAGCATCTTACCTGGCCTCATAGTCATTTCGTACCAACAGTAGGTGCTGCAGAATAGACAGGAAGTATGGCTCTGCCTTCGAATCTTTCACTGTGTTTAAGAGAATCTGGAAGACTTCATTAAAGTCAGTGGGAAAGGGGAACAGGCTAAGGAAAGCAAAAATTTAGGATGTTGAACAGGTGCCTTACTCAACTCTTGGAGAAGCTAGGGCAAAGTAGCAAGCCACCACTTTCACTCTAATGGCAGTTTCTTTCTATTAAGCTATATAAAACTTCCTTTTTCTGAGGAACCAGTGAGTTGGTTGGTACTAAGAGAAACAGAGGATTCCTAGTACTTGGCTTAAAGGTCAGGCAACAGACAGAAACTAACTGCCTCAAAGTCAATGGTGGCAAACATGATAATCAAATTACTCCCTCTGTCAGTCCAAACATTCTAAAACCCAGCCTTGCATTTCATTAAACTAGGCTATCATGTTCTAGGAAGTTTACACTGATTTTTTTTTTTTTTTTTTTTGAGACGGAGCCTCAAGCTGTCCCCCTGGGTAGAGTGCCGTGGCATCACAGCTCACAGCAACCTCCAACTCCTGGGCTCAAGCGAGTCTCCTGCCTCCGCCTCCCAAGTAGCTGGGACCACAGGCGCCCGCCACAACGCCCAGCTATTTTTTTGGTTGCAGCCGTCATTGTTGTTTGGCGGGTCCGGGCTGGGGATTCGAACCCACCACCTTAGGTGTACGTGGCTGGCGCCTTAGCCGGTTGAGCTATAGGCGCCGAGCCAGTTTACACTGATTTTAATGGCTGCTCCCATGCTGACCAACTCTTGGATCACCTTTACTGACTTCCCATGCTAAAGTATACAAGCCAACAGCAATAAAAGGACAACTGCTTGTTTACTGAGAAGACAAATAAGCCTGTTACCCTATTCTGAGTCACTATCCCCCAAACCATTCTAAACAGGGATTTGCAACTAAATTAAATGCATGTCTTATCTTTCTTGAATTCTGTCAATAAAAGGATATTCCATCTCCATACGAATGTCATCCAGCCGTCCCTTTAGGTCAAAGGAATCTTCTTCCCCTTGTTCATCAAACACATTTAGTTGCACTCTCATATCATCATTTTCGATCTCTCGTAGGTCCTGTCAATGACAAAAGCAAAAGTTAGGGAACCCGAAAGCATTGTATGTGGCTAGAAATCCAAGCCTTTCAACAGGAATAAGAGGGGCTATAAGAGCAGAACTACCCCTGCCTTTATGATAAAGTATAATATCTCACCTGCAACACCTGATGTAGCCCCAAGCGCATCAGTTCACTTCGGATGTGAACCCGGAAGTCAAGTTCTTCAGCTGGGGTAATGAGAGCATTGATCAGCTGTAGGCATCCCACCTAAAATAAGAAAATTTGGCAGCTATGTCAATGCTAACTCCTAAAGCTCCAAATTCTATTTTCTTTATATGCATTCTGAGGCCCCCAAGTACAACCTAAAAGATACAGTACAAAAACTCTAAAAATGACTTTTCTACTGGAACAATGAGATCTAGTTTGAGCACAGGTCCAGAGAACTCAGAATTCTAAATGATTACAAGGATTTGACAGTAAGCCTTTTAATAATTGATATCATGTCTTTTTTCCATCTTATAATCAGAAAAAGTTATTTCTTTGCTTTCTTAGAGGGAAGTTGGTTAATCATTTCTAAACAAATTCTGAAATATAAAATATATAGTTGGGACCCACTCCATGTGTTAAGAGGTCAAATGAACTCAAGACTTTCTTTCTTGAATTTCATTCTTAGGGCCAGCTTTAGGGGACATACATACCTTGAGTGCAATGGAGGTCCCACTTTTTAATCCATCCAGCAGTGGCTGGAAACGTTCCACCTCATCCATCTCAGCTCTTTCTGTCATCGCCTCCAAAACCCTTTCATTCCTGCCCAAGAGAAAAGGAAGAGAGAAGACTGCCTAAGTCAGGCATCCTCAAACTACAGCCCACAGGCCCATGCGGCCTGCCGAGGACATTTATCCGGCCCGTCGGGTGTTTTTGCCACTGCTGCCTGTCCTGCTTAGCAGCCAACTGGTCCTGGGGCCCGCACGCAGTCCAGCCCTCCAACGGTCTGTGGGACAGTGAACTGGCCCCCTGTTTAAAAAGTTTGAGGACCCCTGGCCTAGGTGCTCTGACCCAGACATGCATGTAGAAAAATAATGTGAGAAGTCTAGAGAATTAATAATATCTATTCCTTGGATATAGGAAGAAGTCTAGAGAATTAATAATATCCTATATCCAAGGATATAGGATATTACTAATTCCTTGGATATAGGATATTATTAATTTTCTAGACTTCTCACATTATTTTTCTTACCAACCCTAGAACAGGGGCCAGAATCTGCTGAACGCTAAGAACCATCTCTTCAGAGAAATAGACTCCCATCAACCCATCCCTAGACTCCTGTCCATAAAAAACAAGTAAGATCCCTATTCCATGAAGTATAAATTGGTACGATTTGGGGGGAGGGGCACGTTTAAATAGTACTAATCAGTTTCTAATACATATCACATGTGGCCTATTTCTAGAAATCTGTCCAAAATATGTGTGCATGTATATGCATAAATGTGAAAGAATGTATGTACTAGAATGTTCATTATAGTATAATTTGTAATAAAAATTCTTATCATGTAGAACAGGAGCAGGAATCTGCAAAAACAAAAAAAATGAGGGAATTATTAAATAAATTATGGGACATACATGCATATGTAATAGTAAAGATAATATTAAAGATAATAGAACACTAAAGATAGTAAAGTAGATCCATAATACTGACATAGAAAAATGTCCAAGATTTACTGTTAAATAAAAAAAAACAAACTGAACAGAATGAATGGTATGATTGAGCTTCTGTTAAAACAAATTTCTACATAAAAATAAAAATCTAGGCTCGGCGCCTATAGCTCAACCGGCTAACACGCCAGCCACATGCACCTAAGGTGGCGGGTTCGAATCCCCAGCCCGGACCCGCCAAACAACAATGACGGCTGCAACCAAAAAATAGCTGGGCGTTGTGGCGGGCGCCTG